ATTGTGAATAAAGAATGAATATTAGTCGAATTTAAAATAAACAATTGCATCTGAATGTTAGGAGTGGGTCAGGGAACGTCATCAGTAGCGCACGAGATGTAAGTGACGTTGTAGTTTAATGTTTTGTTAGTCTAGCCCACGAGACGCTCCGCTGCTGTGCTATTCATTCAAAATATTAGAGAAATATAGAAGCTCAATGCGGAGAAGATCTTGATTAGGTGAAAACCGAAACCAAGCCATTCACACAACGCATATGCAGCGCATTTTTAGATGGACAAATATAACTGCTGCACTCGCGTCTCACACAAGAGATGTATAGAAAGCCATGAAAATTTTAAAACAGTTTAAACTTTTAGAAAACGCGTCACGAATTTGAGGAGGTTTATTCCTTTTCACTGCATCTCATATGTTTTTAAATGCAATCTGTGTGAATGGCGCTTCGGCTCTTTGAATTAAGCAATGCATAAATACATGATGCTGTTTTGTTCATAATTGTTTATTCATGAAATTATATTTGATTTTTATAAGTTAATTTGGACGTAATGCACATTTTATTATAGACCGTTTCCTTGCGTTGACAATTTAAATGCGCTGCATTATTTTGCTCATTGCGCCCTCCTGTGGCTTCTGGACACAAGGCAAAAGTTTCCTTAAAACATTAATCTGCATATAAAACATTAGAAATGACTGATTGTTAAAACAAAATATATTGGATGTTTGTCACAATAAATAGGGGTAGTTTAAAAATACAGTGATAAAAAACAAAAATTATATTGCTCTGTTTAAAAAAAATGTCAATAATTATCGATACATTTTTAAGCTATATCGCGCAGCCCTACTTGACCAACACAATAGCCTTTTACAGGTGCATCTCAATAAATTAGAATGTCGGGGAAAAGTTCATTTATTTCAGTAATTCAACTCAAATTGTGAAACTCGCCAGCTGACCCAGTGCATTGTGATTGGCCGAACACCGCAAGCACTCGTCGGAAATGTAACACACCTTCCCATAATCGCGAGCTTCACCTTTCAAAATAAATGTAAAGACAGTAAATAATGTCATTAGTTTTACCATCAGTTCAAGCCCGAAAGGGGAACAGAGTCGCGTGACAGACACAGTGATGAAGCTGGTATGTGTTTGCAGTACACAAGCCACGGTTAAGACAGCTGACTCCACTGTGATGTGACCCTGTGTCTCTCTCTCACACGCGCGTGTATGTAATAACAAAACATACTTACAGTAGCTGATTCAGAAGCGCCAGATTGCCATAGCCAGCTGAAACCACGCGGTTACTGAAACCACGCCTTCTTTCTTTGCGTGCACATTTGGACGGCATTACGCAAATATTTCCACATAGTGAGGTAGATATGTGGGGGCGTGTTAGAACAAGCCGTTTTAGGGGGGCGTGGCAGAGTCTTAAATTTGATAAAGAATATCTCTTTGGTTTTGAGACTTTAGTCTTTGCAACTTCAGGGATCTTATCTATGCACAATCAGCTTGTAACACCCCAAAGAGAAAGGAAAACTTGAAATCGCATCATATGACCCTTTAAGTTTTTTGCTGCCAAAGCCAATGAGTTCTTAGCTTTACAGTCTTGTTGCCAATCATTTCAGAGTGTCCTCCTGCAAAAAAAGATTATTGATGATTGATGAACCAAGTGGGCAACTGATGACACAGAGACAGATGCTGGACTTTCTAGATACGATGGATGCATGTAAAACTGGCATGAAATCAAATTGAGGTCTCTCCAGTCGACCCGGTTAAAAAGCTCCAGTCTCTGGAGTTCTTATTAATCCTCTCAAAGAGCACGATGACACTCTTATCAGTGACAAACGGCTGCAGCTTCTAATTGTGCCACGAGATCTGACAGGATAAATTGGCACAAGGGCAGAAACTCCTGACAGTTGCATTATGGGAAATTAATAGTAACTCATTTTCAATGAGCGAGTACCAGTGTGATGAACTCAAAGAGGCTTGTAGAGTACTTACATTTTCAGTTTCAGATGATCTGAAAAATTAAGTGACACAGCTAATGGGATAATACTTTATAGGAGCGTAACATATCAGGTGACACGGATGTTCAATTATTTAGACGTATCTATCACAAACTATAAAACATGCTTAGCCTGTTGCTCGAAATTAGAGAGCAATCTTTTTTTTTAAACCACAGTATTAGTATTTTTCTGGACATGGTACTACCATCTTTTTACTCTTATTAGTCCTAAGTAGTTGTGCAAATAAGCACACAAGTATAAGTTTTATTAGCTGAAATAAGTAAATTACTAAAGTAAGTATAGCCATTATTAACCAAATAAGTATGCACAATGCACACTTTGGAATAATACACCATCCAGGTACCTTTTGCATTGTTTTTTTTACTATGATTGTAGATGCGCAACATCTTTGCATACTATTTAAGATGGATAGTTTGCAAATTGGGACAGTCTTATAAGGATATTGGTTCTAAACCCTAAACAAATTGTGGATTCACAAGAGCAGCAGCTGTGCCGAATCGAGACTAAATGCATCTTTCCAAATGCATATGTTTGATGCGTTTGGAGGACAAGGAACGTCTCAAAGGCATTAGTGTTGCACTACAAGATCCTCATCAGAATGCACTGACGGTTGGGTTGTGCTGCCTGAAGTCGTTGGCAGTTTTCCCTGCATCTGCCAGAGACACTCCCACATCAGCACAGAGACGACAGGAGGAAATGACATTCATCAATCATTTGTGATGTCCCTCGCTTCCTTTAAACGTGCTAGGCTCCATCGAAAGCCTGCGGGTGACTTTGGACAATGCAGTCCAGTTAGACGTGAACTGCTATTCATATTTAATCGTGGTTCTGATGCCAGTAGGCTACTTTAATATACATTTTCCTGAGAAGAGTCAGGTTGGATGTCCTCCGACGATCTTGATGGAGGTCTCATGCTTGGATTTTCTCTTATTCCTCCTGGGTTTGATCTTTCAGCTCATGCACTCATGTCCTGTATCCTGATACCGTCTGATGCCCATGAACATCCCCTTCATCTTTCATCTCCCTCGTTCTAATTTCCATAATGTAGGTTCAAAATTAATTCTACCTGCTGTTTGAATTCATGAATAGTTCTGAAGTAAGTGAACAGTAAGGTTGGAAATCGGGAGCCACTTGTAATTCAGAACCATTTTTGTCAATTTTTTAAAAGAATACTGCAGCTGAATAAATTCCATGACGTCCAGTTCTGTTAACAGTTATTGGAAGTCTGCATTCTTTTGTTGATGGGAATGGAAAATTATACTAAAACACTTCAAAAGTGCTTTTCTGTTGTTGAATCTATAGCGTCATGTCTAAAGAAATCTAATGTGAGCTTGAGCTTGCAGTCTAGAATAACTCAATGTAGATAAATCCAGAAGAATTATTATTCCAATCTCTGAAGTTAAACATGAACAATCTCCTGATGTCCACCATAAACCTGAATGAAATAACGAGACATTTGTAAAATTATGAATGATATTTATTATACCTTCATAGATAAATAGAACAGCCTATTATCTGCCGACTGCACTATCAGGCAATATGTATGTTTGTAGTAAAAAAACAAAAACAAAGGAAAGAATAAGAGTACTAATGAATCTGTTGATTATCATGATAACACTGATAAGAATATTTTATCATTCTTTTAACATCACCTTTACATATCGGTGGTCTTGTTTGTGCTTTGATATGAAGTTCGAGACATTAACAAATACGTCTCTGCAAGTACAGAATTCAAATAAACAGTAAGCTGTTAAATGCACAGTTCAGTTTTCATTAACATAAATGAAATAAAGACAGAAGAATAACAGTTTCACACGAACAAACACACGTACATACATGCACACATATGTGCGCACAACTACAACAGTTTGCGGTTATGACTGGTGTGCTGTACGAGTGATCGGTCTGGTCCACCCAGCAGTACAAACTCTTTGCTTTGTTACATTCCTGATCCTGGAAACACTTTCGTCCAGAAACAGACCAGCAACACTGCACAAATGATGAAAAATCTGTCACAAACATTCATATCCAGTCACACCTTCATGCACACATAAACAATCATGTATTCATATATTAGCCCTAAAAAAAATTGGACACTTTAAGTGACACTTACAAATGCCTGAGGGCCTGTTTACACCTGGCCACTTAATGTGTTTTCTCTGATCAGATATCATTCAGATTTTTAAAAACTGTTACATTTACACTTGGCCACATAAATGTTGTCTTTGCAAAATGGATTTAAAGTTCACATCAACGAAAGCAACAGATATGTGCTGCATTTAATTAATTATCAGCTAATTTCAAGATCAAAGATCGCAATAGGAGAGAGCACTGGAAAGATAAGTTAGTCTCACTATTTTTAATGAAGATGATTGAGTGTTGAGCCTCCGGGTCTTACTTTGTTTCATTTACGGCAGTTTGCGCGTCGGCTTGCTGAAGAGATACTCAGCTACTCATCCGTGGTGATGCCTGTTGCATTAGCTCTGTCAAATCTGACTATAACATGTCATATAGCCTATAACATGCTCTCACACGTTTATTATTTTAACATTTTGGGAGGAGTCAAAATGTCAGTCGTTACTAAAGTTTTAAAAATGTCAATTTCTGGCTAACATTTGAGCACCGTTGAGCGGATTCTTAAATGCGGCTGATTGGCCATTGTGTTCACATGCTCAACATATACAGTATGACTGTGATTGGCTACAATGATCAACGCTTCATGCTCTTCACCGAGCGCTCACAAACACAATGACCAATCAGATGTCATGTTTAATAATCCGCTCAACAGTGCTCAAATGTTAGTGGGAAATGGATGTTTTTAAAATTTCAGTACCGACTGATATCGTGGTCGGTACTGTGGACAACACTAAGTGGTTTCAACAACCAGATGCATTTACACTTGTTTAGCTTCGTCTGGAATGTGGCCCAGACCACCTCCTGAAGTGGTCTGAGTGATCAGATTTAAATCCATCTCGAAAGCGTTTCGGAGGGCATTTACACCTGGTCTTTTCAAGAAAATGCAAGAAAACACATTAAGTGGCCAGGTGTAAACAGGCTGTGAATGTCATTGTCAGTCACAAAATATAAAATAAAGTGACAAAACATTTGACAAAAAATTATTTGTTGCAGTAGTCTTAAAAATTAAAAACGGATAGATCCACTAAAAATCACCAAAACAATTCTGCAGCATTTTTGATGTGCAATCTAATGCAACAACTTTTGACACATTTGAAAGAATACTTTAAGTGTCCAAATATCTTTTGGGGCCACTGTATACTTTTGGGGACTTCCCATTCCCATTTATTGTTTGTCAGATATGCTAATTATACAACAGACTAATCCTAAACTTAAAATAAACCTTTTTGGCATTTTTAGATATTAATTTATACATTGTTTAGTTTCATTTTGAATCGTTGTTTCCTTGTAGAGAGGCTCTCACAAGGTGCTTTTGTTAGCTTGCTGTTCTTCTGGGGTCACTGAGAAACTTCATCCCCACAAGAACAGCTAAACCTGCGCACGCACGCATATACACACAAAAACAAACTTTACACCATCTCCCAACACTTGTATATAATTGAGGCAAACTTGGCGAGAGTAATAATGAAATCTAAATAAAACTAAAAACATGCACAGAACGACCAGCATGCATTTACAAGATGAGACCTGTAACACAATGTCATGTGGGACCTGAACCCTCCAGAACCCTGAAATCCCCCTTTGACATTTGTAATGGTCACCTTTGTTCGGGAAGTTACATTCTTGTGAGATACACTGAGGCTGAATAGATCCAGCAGATAGGACTAATGAGGCTACATACAGTGAATAAGCGCTATATTTATCTACTGACCTACGTAAGCCACTGGTCTTAAGACAGTTTAGAGCCGTCACTATGTACATAAAAGGCATCAGGGTCCAGCTGCAGAAAGCTATTCGATGTCCAAGTCACATAATGTGTAATTTCTTAGGCTTCAAGGAGTTTCGTTTTTGAGGCAGTATTTCCTTGAAATGTTCAAAAAACATCAATGGTTTTCCATGGAACGTGTTAGTGAAAATATACTTTGTTGATCGGTACCATTCCTCCGATGTCTGGATATATCTCAAGACATGGTGGTTTTCCAGTGTGTGGCAGATCCAGAAGGTTGTTCTGTAATGTCCGGTTGTGAATGGGGTCCGTACTGATGTGGTCAGCTTTGGTTGTTCTCTGTCAGACAGGCCGCTCTTGTTTTACGCTCAACAGGTGAAGTCTTCGAAGTTGCCCTGGCCAGGATGGTGAGGTAGCATGTTGGCTGGGTAGGTTGATGGGGTATGAAGGTTTTCACAGGGTGCCTGAGAGGAAATATACACAATCAGAAACTGCACAGTGTAAAATGAATACTGCCTACAATTAGGCTAAAAAGTAGCATGTCAAACATTACACAGTATAAAGCAATAACTATTTCAAACAACATTTTGTGCATGTGAATTCAGCGAGTGGCTTTCAGTTATCATCCCTGAGAATACAAATTTGTGTAAAAATGACTGAACGTGTGTCTAGTCTAATCAAATAATAACTCAAGATGATGCTAAAAAACAGCTGATATAACTACTATTTCTGGTAATGGAAGGTCAAGCTGAGCATGTTGCATTGTGGGATACAGCATCTCATGCAGTATTCTCTGTTGTATCAGCATATAATATATGGTCTTCCAGTTAAAAAACTGCACACTAACTGAATACTGCAGACAAAGTATGAGTATGAGTAGTATGACAGTATACTATTCTGAACATAGCCTTTATTGTCTGTAAGAATGAGTTTATCAGCCAGCACAGATACTGGTGTGATAGTTACTGACGTGACGCTTCACATCGTCCAGGCTGAGAACGGCTCCTCGTTCGTTGTTGTTGCTCCGCTGGTGTTTCTTCTTGGCACAATGACACAGTTTGTACTTGATCACCTTTGAAGAAAGAAAACAAGCCCATGCATAAAACCTGCTGTTCAGTTCACGCTATGGATGGTCATGTGGAGAGCTTTTTTGAAGATTTTAATCTAGGAAATTGTGCTTAAACATCTGAAGCAAATCAGAAAAGCAACAAAAAGGAAACTGAAATGCATTTGATAGTGGATTAATTTCTATGAAATACAAATGTGATACCCAAAGAAAACATCAATTGTGAGATTAGAATGGCAGACATGGATGCATGGAACTGAAATCTAGGGGGTTTGTAGATGTATGACTAGCCAAGTTCTATTTGCATCTTGGTTCCCAAGTAAAGCACACATTCAGAAAATTTCCAGGAACTCGAAATTTTCTTCTGTCCCCAAACACTGCTTTTCCAGAGATTGACAGAAACAATATGAAGTACTAGATCTGAACTCGTAACTGGGGCATTTCCCCCAATTCCCGTGTGGGCCTCCTGACACACAGAACAACATGATGGATGGATGATGTATTGTTTGTTATTGGCTTTCGGCTGTCATGTACCAGAAGTCAGTTTAAACCAGCCAGATTACACAAACACAAGTCCTGGATCTGACAGTATTCGTGTCTCATTTCCTGCAAATGACGCCAGCTTCCACCTGCCATATCTGACAGCCTGTCTTCCATCTGTGTCCTAATGTCACGGGCGATACTCTGAGCCTGCTGTTGAGTCTGAACCAGACTCTAGAGACTTTTCACGTGGAAAGTCAATTCATCAAAATTGGTGCATGGCTAGATTTATTTATTTATTTTTCAAAAGAATTGGTTTGGGTATAGAACTCTAAAATGAAAGCATTATTTTGGGAAGATAAATAACTCAAAATGGCTAAATAAACTGTTGGGGCATGTTCCTCATGCAAAACTTTAAAAGACTTGCCCAGGCCTTGGTCACTACCTTCAAGTTCTACAAGGTTTGTACATACAAATTTGAATATCAAATTACTACATAATGTGTGATTTTGGTCAGAATAAAACAAGCATACTGGGTGGTTTCATTCTCTCTCTTTCTGATAAAGGCCACAAAACATCCCATTTGTCCATTGGGAATGATGAGACTCATAACTCATAAATGCAATCATTTTGACAAGGATGCAGAAACTGATTTAATAAACCAGCACGAACATTCTGCTAAACATCTTCTTTTGCATTCTACTGAAAAAAAAGAAGAAAAAAAAAAGAGTCATACAGGTTTTGAAATGACATTTGGGTAAGTCAGTCAGTTATGACAGATTTTTTCATTCTTGGGTGGGTGAACTATCCCTTTCACATTTCATTATTTGTCTTTTTTATCTTTCAGCAGAAACACTTTAAATGCTTCTTTTGCTTGTTTTGAATGCTTTTGTTTTCCAAAGGCTCACATGAGTCTGTTGAGCAGAGGTGCAAGTCAGCACTTCCTGTAAAAGATCACGTGATCTGTTATCAATCACTGCCATACAGAGATACCCAAGGAGCATCCAAGAGAACAGACAAGAAAAATAGCTCTCCTGGCATCGCTCCCCTGTTTTTAAATTCATATGTTTTAATGCATAGTTGGATTGGCAAAATAACATTAAGCAAACTCATGAGTATTGTGATGATTTATAACTTGCAGCGCAGAGGTATTTTTCTATATTTTCAACATTTTAAATCAATTTGAAAAAAGGGGCCATATGGTCAAATACATAAAGATATATACTGAAAATTGTCAAAAGGGGGAATGATATTGCAATACTTTTTACACAACTTCGCCCACCCAAGTGTGTAATACTTCTGCAGATGAGACCAATGGTTATCAGTCATATTCAACATAAGATCTGAGGACAATATTCTTAGCAGAAGTTATGTTGATTAAGATGCTAATGACAGAGTGCGCAGACACACCGAAATTATTTCTTCATAATGCCTGAAGCACTGCATCTGCCAACAACATTGAGTCCTCGGCTTGCTTTGAATAAGATTCTAGTAGGTTGCTTCTGCTTGCTTGCCTGCTGGATTGCCTATTATCACATCCGATGACAATTTTCCCAATCATAAGACAATTCCACCCTTCGCCTTCAGGTATTGATATCTTGAAAGCAATCACATCCTGAGCCAAGGCTTGAAAAGTAATAATATATTTACACTCCATTCAGATGCTGAGTGTGGCAAAGGGTTCCAAGTGGAAGAAAGCTCCAACGTTAAGAGACCACAGCTTTTGTGAAGGTCATACAAACACAATTACCGGGGAAAGGAGAATATGTGCCATTCTGAGTGACAGAAATTTCCACAGCTGTCGAGTTTCAAGGTAATTATCTCTGAAGTGTCTTTAATACATTGCGAAAAGAAAACGGGTGCAGGTTTGGATTTGAATCATGGAGGTCTTACCTCATACAGGTAGTCAAAGAGCTCCAGGATGGTTAAGATACTGGCCCCGATGAACAGCCCCATCTGTCCGCCAATGTCACCTGAAATAGTTTATTTCAGTAATTAGCCACATGAACAGACAAACAAGCTTTGCAACATATCGTACATAAATGGATTGTAAAATTACAAGCTGCTCTTAGTAATTTTTTTTTTGTTCAACAACTTTATGGTCTTTGTGTTCTCAGTTTTATAGTCACTAAGTTAGTTTGACTTTCTAAAAAGTGAAACACTGTGACTTCTTTTGAAAAAGCTATTACTTTACAGGGTGTCCACAGTGAAAGAACACCTGGAAATATCAAAGGATAAAATAATTTCAAGGCTTGTGAATTAATCTTGACATCTCGGAAATCACCGCTCACCAAGAAGGCCGGCTAACTCGTAGGCTTTCTTCTGCTCTATAGTCTCGAAGTTCAGGGCCTCAAAGAAGATGTCCAGCACCAGGATGTTTTCTCTAAAGAGCAGAACAGAAGGGAAAGGTGAGGACCCCCCCCCAAAATGCATTTACTTCCACAAGCCTTCCCATCTTTTGCACCATCCTCCAAGCATCGATCCACAATCTCTGCCAGTTTCACAGCATTTTATTCTCTAATCTTCCACTGCTGTAAGCAGATGGTTGGAGTCGATCCAGCAGAGACCTCAGGCCATTTTAGACACAGCTGGAGTTGATTCTAAGCGTATCTGTTACATTTTTGCACATGAAGTAGTGGCACTTTACACTTTATATCATATTTCTATAATTTACTCAACTTCTTTAAAAAAATTAATTGAGTTTTTATTAAGAACATTCCTACACATTCACTGCAGATGGTGTGAAAGTTAAATTTTTTTGGTCCCCTCTGAATACATATTAAATGTTTAATTAAGCTACAGGTGACAGCTGCAGTTATTTTATGAGTGTTTGCCCAAGCTTTTCAGCTACCTAGAAGCCAAAAACACTAAAAAGGTTAGCCTTAATGGTTCTTTCGCAGCAGGTTTATTGAAGGATGGTAATGAGGTGCTACTTTAAAACCAAGTATGAAAAAAACACACCATCTTCCTCCTCTAAAACCTAGCCATTACATCATCTGGGTTTAAAACATAAGTATTTCTGCTTTAGATTAATACATAACCCTGTTACTGTCAAAGATGAGGGTTAGGGTTAGTAGATGATGGCAGATTTAAGATTACATATGATTCATTTCCTAAATACAAGAAGCCATGGCAGAGATCTGATTTTGAGGCTTTTCACTGGATAGTCATCAATATCTTTGGGAACAAGCAGAAAACTAAATAGAGGCATTCAGCCGTTGCGTTTAGAAGATTAAATTCTCCCAAGTTCTTCAGTAACTTCTCTTTTCCTGTTCTGAATGTAAAATACTGCAAATAATTTACAATTGTTCCACCTGACTTCTCTTTTCATTTTCTAAATGCAAAATACTGCAAATAATAGTTCTTCTCCATTTAGTTCATGCAAATATAAGAAAATGGTTTCATGAAATTTTGATCGTCACTGTTTTGTGCTTTTAGGCTGCCGTAATAATTTCACAGATTAAAGTTTAGGTCAACATGGAACGGCACAACCAATTTCACTGAAGTAAAAGTTTACACTTCAGCTGAAAAGAAGAGTCATTTTATTTTGATAAATTTAGGAACATAGCATAATTATTAGGCACGTTAATATTCTGACTTTTTTTTTCCCCAAGCACATATTACCAATTCCAAACCACATCAATCGTAATAGCTACTATTAATTTTGCATTTAATCATTTATAAGTGATATATAATTGTCCATAAATGCTGGAACTGAAAAAACTTCTTATATTCAGGTGTGCATAATTATTAGGCAGATTTTCTTTTACAGATAAAATGAGCCAAAAAAGAGATTTCACTTCTGGTGCTGGAGACTAAATGGTTCCTGATGGTTTCACACCTAATTCTTCACCTTAATTCTTATGCAGTTAATGTGCCTTTTCTTCTCCACCTGTTTTTTCTGACCGTGCTGACCCAATGAGCATTTCACTGTCCAATGGTCATGCCATAACTTTGCAAATTGTAGTATTGCATTAGTATTGCATCCTTCTCATGGGCATTTAATCATTTTTGACTTTCAGTCTAAGTTAAATCTCTTTTTTGGCTAATTTTATCTGTAAAAGAAAACCTGGCTAATAATTATGCACACCTGACTTTTCACTTCCAGCTTTCATGAACAACAGTTAATAGTTTAACACGCTGACTTTAATATTTACCTCTTAGTATGTAAATTAACACCCAAACTAGTGTAACTGCCTGTAGAAGACACAGCAAACTAAGAACAGCAACTTTCTTGACCTCCCTCTGTAAACTTAATTGGGATGCATGTTGTTCCAGATGGCTGCGGATGTGGAGATATTCCCTGACATTTCTTAGCGTGTTTGTCAAAGCAGTGATGTGTTACATGTCTGCCATGCTGTTGTCTGGTCTTTAAGCTGTTCAGATGACTGGCTGTCTGGATCTTGCATGAGGGCAGACAAAGATCCTGGTTAATTACTGATGAGGCACTAAACAGCTGCCAATCTGGACAATTAAACAAGTAGGGCATAACAAACAACCATAAATTACACAGTTCGTAAAATTGGCAATTTTTTTTGTGATTTACTGAGGTTTATGCTTAAAACATAACCTCAAAAAAAGATAAATATTTGCCAACTGCAAGAAATATCCTTTGAAAGTAAGTAATTTTCTAAATTATGTGACTATTTTTTATTTTAGGTGTCTGCACAAACTTGTTAAGATTCAGTTGCACAATGTGAGATTAGCAAAACTGTTCAGTGTTTTGGTTTACAGAGATTTCTGATTTACAGAGATATCTAGAGCAACGTGACAGAATTATAAACCAACAAATGTCTCGATTTTGTAATCAGCACCAGAGACAAGCAACATTTAAGTTATGGGTGATCTGATCAGGATTTTTGAGGCCGATCACCGATCGCCGAACACAGAAAGCAGTATCTGCCGATACCGATACCGATCTTTTTAAAGCCTTCTTTTTATCATTTATAACTAGATATAGTGATACTCCAATCTGGATTTTTAGACATTTATTCAGGGCCTAAATTTCATTTTTGAAAATGGGGGGAATTCCCCTCTTAGTTGACTCTTGTGAGAGGTCAACTAAAAAAAAAGCCATATGTGTTGACTGTGAAACACAGTAGACTTTAATAATATGCATTTATGGTGTAATTGCGACATTTTCGTGTCAATCCATGTTCATATTTACTGCAAAAATGCGTAAAAATGTAAATGTTACTTTAATTCAGCGCAGCAACAGACTTGGTGTGGAAGCGATCTCTGCACTGTCGCAGACGCACTGCCGGACCGCAACCGTGTGCAGTGAACGCTGTCATCCGTTAACATGAGCATGGAAAAAATACACACCGCTAGTGCTGGGCGGTATGACCAAAAATTTATATCACGGCATTTTTCAAAATTATGCCGGTTTCACGGTACATGATGGTATTTTTTTATTTTTTTTTCATGCATGACCAGGTGTTAACCATATTTTCTACTGATTGAGAGCGGAAATACTGCAGTATATTGACTTAGAATGCCCATTTTACTGTCATGATGAGTGAATATTGTCAAAAAATACCACACTAAATAGTGACTTAAACATGACCCCTTTTAATACATGTTAACCAGGAGTCACTCTCATTTATAATCGCGGCATCGTCTGATAAAATCAACATGCATCTACGCTAAAGAGCGGCTATGCGGTTGTTTTGGCTATATTACTTTTTTGTCTCATGCAGCGCACTGCCTGCATCTGAGTAACAAACTAAAAAAACAACAAACAAAATTGCATGTGATATTAACAGACGAACTACGCTCATATTTATAATTCCAAGCAATCAGTTTGCTGACAGGTGCTAGGAAACGCTGTTTTGTACTCATTTATTGACGAGTCGGCTGCGGTGCGGCCAACTGAATGCGCTGCTTCTCTGCCGCTCACTGCACAGAACAGACGCAGAGAGAGGTGACACTTCTCCGGGAAAGTCAGACCTCGTGTTCGTGGGACAGCACTGGCAAAATCTTCCAACTGAACCATAGCTAAGTTTTATCCAAAAAAGTCGCTAGGTTTGTCAGTATGAATATTCTATGGAAAAAAGCCACTAAAAGGGTCTGAATGTTGCTAAAGTCGCGCTCGTGTGTGTGAGACGCGGGAGCTGATGGCAGGGGGCGGTGGATATTTGTGGTGGTCAATGTGGATATTGTGGATGAGTTCTTCGAACTGAAAAAACTTCTTATATTCAGGTGTGCATAATTATTAGGCAGATTTTCTTTTACAGATAAAATGAGCCAAAAAAGAGATTTCACTTCTGGTGCTGGAGACTAAATGGTTCCTGATGGTTTCACACCTAATTCTTCACCTTAATTCTTATGCAGTTAATGTGCCTTTTCTTCTCCACCTGTTTTTTCTGACCGTGCTGACCCAATGAGCATTTCACTGTCCAATGGTCATGCCATAACTTTGCAAATTGTAGTATTGCATTAGTATTGCATCCTTCTCATGGGCATTTAATCATTTTTGACTTTCAGTCTAAGTTAAATCTCTTTTTTGGCTAATTTTATCTGTAAAAGAAAACCTGGCTAATAATTATGCACACCTGACTTTTCACTTCCAGCTTTCATGAACAACAGTTAATAGTTTAACACGCTGACTTTAATATTTACCTCTTAGTATGTAAATTAACACCCAAACTAGTGTAACTGCCTGTAGAAGACACAGCAAACTAAGAACAGCAACTTTCTTGACCTCCCTCTGTAAACTTAATTGGGATGCATGTTGTTCCAGATGGCTGCGGATGTGGAGATATTCCCTGACATTTCTTAGCGTGTTTGTCAAAGCAGTGATGTGTTACATGTCTGCCATGCTGTTGTCTGGTCTTTAAGCTGTTCAGATGACTGGCTGTCTGGATCTTGCATGAGGGCAGACAAAGATCCTGGTTAATTACTGATGAGGCACTAAACAGCTGCCAATCTGGACAATTAAACAAGTAGGGCATAACAAACAACCATAAATTACACAGTTCGTAAAATTGGCAATTTTTTTTGTGATTTACTGAGGTTTATGCTTAAAACATAACCTCAAAAAAAGATAAATATTTGCCAACTGCAAGAAATATCCTTTGAAAGTAAGTAATTTTCTAAATTATGTGACTATTTTTTATTTTAGGTGTCTGCACAAACTTGTTAAGATTCAGTTGCACAATGTGAGATTAGCAAAACTGTTCAGTGTTTTGGTTTACAGAGATTTCTGATTTACAGAGATATCTAGAGCAACGTGACAGAATTATAAACCAACAAATGTCTCGATTTTGTAATCAGCACCAGAGACAAGCAACATTTAAGTTATGGGTGATCTGATCAGGATTTTTGAGGCCGATCACCGATCGCCGAACACAGAAAGCAGTATCTGCCGATACCGATACCGATCTTTTTAAAGCCTTCTTTTTATCATTTATAACTAGATATAGTGATACTCCAATCTGGATTTTTAGACATTTATTCAGGGCCTAAATTTCATTTTTGAAAATGGGGGGAATTCCCCTCTTAGTTGACTCTTGTGAGAGGTCAACTAAAAAAAAAGCCATATGTGTTGACTGTGAAACACAGTAGACTTTAATAATATGCATTTATGGTGTAATTGCGACATTTTCGTGTCAATCCATGTTCATATTTACTGCAAAAATGCGTAAAAATGTAAATGTTACTTTAATTCAGCGCAGCAACAGACTTGGTGTGGAAGCGATCTCTGCACTGTCGCAGACGCACTGCCGGACCGCAACCGTGTGCAGTGAACGCTGTCATCCGTTAACATGAGCATGGAAAAAATACACACCGCTAGTGCTGGGCGGTATGACCAAAAATTTATATCACGGCATTTTTCAAAATTATGCCGGTTTCACGGTACATGATGGTATTTTTTTATTTTTTTTTCATGCATGACCAGGTGTTAACCATATTTTCTACTGATTGAGAGCGGAAATACTGCAGTATATTGACTTAGAATGCCCATTTTACTGTCATGATGAGTGAATATTGTCAAAAAATACCACACTAAATAGTGACTTAAACATGACCCCTTTTAATACATGTTAACCAGGAGTCACTCTCATTTATAATCGCGGCATCGTCTGATAAAATCAACATGCATCTACGCTAAAGAGCGGCTATGCGGTTGTTTTGGCTATATTACTTTTTTGTCTCATGCAGCGCACTGCCTGCATCTGAGTAACAAACTAAAAAAACAACAAACAAAATTGCATGTGATATTAACAGACGAACTACGCTCATATTTATAATTCCAAGCAATCAGTTTGCTGACAGGTGCTAGGAAACGCTGTTTTGTACTCATTTATTGACGAGTCGGCTGCGGTGCGGCCAACTGAATGCGCTGCTTCTCTGCCGCTCACTGCACAGAACAGACGCTACTGAGGTTTATGCTTAAAACATAACCTCAAAAAAAGATAAATATTTGCCAACTGCAAGAAATATCCTTTGAAAGTAAGTAATTTTCTAAATTATGTGACTATTTTTTATTTTAGGTGTCTGCACAAACTTGTTAAGATTCAGTTGCACAATGTGAGATTAGCAAAACTGTTCAGTGTTTTGGTTTACAGAGATTTCTGATTTACAGAGATATCTAGAGCAACGTGACAGAATTATAAACCAACAAATGTCTCGATTTTGTAATCAGCACCAGAGACAAGCAACATTTAAGTTATGGGTGATCTGATCAGGATTTTTGAGGCCGATCACCGATCGCCGAACACAGAAAGCAGTATCTGCCGATACCGATACCGATCTTTTTAAAGCCTTCTTTTTATCATTTATAACTAGATATAGTGATACTCCAATCTGGATTTTTAGACATTTATTCAGGGCCTAAATTTCATTTTTGAAAATGGGGGGAATTCCCCTCTTAGTTGACTCTTGTGAGAGGTCAACTAAAAAAAAAGCCATATGTGTTGACTGTGAAACACAGTAGACTTTAATAATATGCATTTATGGTGTAATTGCGACATTTTCGTGTCAATCCATGTTCATATTTACTGCAAAAATGCGTAAAAATGTAAATGTTACTTTAATTCAGCGCAGCAACAGACTTGGTGTGGAAGCGATCTCTGCACTGTCGCAGACGCACTGCCGGACCGCAACCGTGTGCAGTGAACGCTGTCATCCGTTAACATGAGCATGGAAAAAATACACACCGCTAGTGCTGGGCGGTATGACCAAAAATTTATATCACGGCATTTTTCAAAATTATACCGGTTTTACTGTATATGAGACTGGGTTTTTATCATATTTTCTACTG